GCGGTCGGGCGGGCCTGGAGCCGACCTCCGCGTGGCTGGGGCGGCCCGAGAGGCCAGCCTACGGAAGGGTGCGAGGTGTGCCCTGGGAGCCGTCAGGAGCCCGGGGAGGGTGTCCTTGAGGAGCAGCGCAGCCTCGTTCCGCGGCCGTCCGAGACTGCAGCATTCCCCAGGGCAGGGTGATTGACAGCCCGGGTACGGGGTCGCCCTTACTACAGATTTTCAAGCACAGACACAGTGGGAATAGGAAGGGGGGAGAAGTGTAAGAGAAGAGCTTCTCAGGCAGAGAAAGCAGCGTGTGCTGCAAACGTCCCGTGGTGAACAAATGAGGGCAAATATAAGGAATTGGAGAAAAGCCTTGTGGGTCAGAACAGAGTGACCAGGGATGCAGGCAGGCCCGGACTGCAGCACTAACGGGAGAGCAACAGAAAGGGCGGTTCTGGCCGAGGCCGCCTGGTGACAGCGGTGGAGGGGGGGGGACGGTGACCCCGTGTGGGGGCCAGCCAGTCATTCGCGTCGGCTCCCATAGTGGGTGCTGGCCAGCTGGGTGCAGGGAAAAGTAGGAAATCAAAGCAAAAAGGTAGGTCCTGACCATGACGGGTGGGAAATGCCAAGAAGTGTGACCTTTATGGGAAATTAATGCTCTTAATCAGTCGAGAGCATAATTACCAGATAGAGGTTTTTAAAAAGTGACTTACCAAGGCATATTCTGATACATGAATATTTAAGTTTTATAAAAATTTTATGATGATAATTTGAAGGATGGGGAGACATCATCTTAATTGTATTTTTTAATTCTAGGTATATTGTAAAATATTTGATGGTTGAAATGGTTGCATTTCACTTGGTAGAAACAGCGTATGTGCATTTTTATGAGAGTATTGTTTACTAAATAAGGTGTTGCTTAAGTGCATTTATTAATGCCAAGTTAGATTTGATTACTAGTGTCATTGTCCATTAACAAACCCATTAAATGAACTTTGAACAGTATCCATTAAAGAAATAACAGACCAAGGGGTTTTGCCTGAGACTAAAAATCAGTGTGATAACCAAGGAATATAATATGCACACTGTAACTTTTTTCTATTTCTGTGACTTAACCATTAGCTATAATACCTTCATTTCCTAAAATCATGTTGGTCATATTTTTAAAATATCAGAACGTGAAAAACCTGAATTTCGTAATGAAAAGAGGCTGTTACCTCACTTTTTGGACACCCAGAAAATGTTACAGTCTAACTAATGCTTCCTGAAGATTCCAGTAGCAGAAAACTGTGTTACAATCTTGTTTCTTACGGCAGTAAGTCAAAGAAGCCTGCCTATTATTAGTATTCTGATCAGAAAGAAGAGTCTTTCTCTGTTTTCTCACAAAACTTTATGGAAAAAGCTAACACATCTCAAAATATAGAAAAGAGCAGAGCCCAGACAAGAGCAAACAGCGGGCACAGCCGCACGCGGAGGCCCCCGCGACGCCGGCGGGTGTTCCGGGTGTGGGTACATGTCGCATCGCCGACCAGGACTTCGAAGCAAGTACCTCCAGGGTTTTTCTTTCTGGAAGTCAATTCTTTTTCTTTCATTTTTTTCCCCATTGTTGACTGTTTCTAGCCTTCTCTCTTGATCCATTTCTTAATCACTCTTTTTAAAAAGCATCTGTTCCCAAATACAGGCCGTATTGTAGCTGTCTGGGTGCCTGCTTCTGGGAGTCGTAGATGATGATTTATGAGGAAAGTGTTTATTGACCCTTAGGAAGTTTCCTGATGTTCACTTACCACTGTGTGATTTCTGTCCAGATCTGAAATAGAATAAATACTGTTTTGTCTAAATATGTACATTATGAAAAGTTCATTCTATTAAGTATGCACCTGTTTACTATCTTTGTAGATAAAGAAGATGTGCACTCCATCCCAAAAGTTAGTCAGTTGTATCGTTAAAAATGTATTTTTTTTACTTGTATTGTGTGTATTGGGATTATTTTTCCTAGTCATTTATATTTCAGTTTCTGTCTAGTTTAATGTGCAGGCTTCTAATACATGCCTGTGGTTAATGAATCCAGATAAAGATGTTCTGTTACGGGCTGAATATTCCCACCCAAACAGTAGGCCATTCGTCCTGCAGCCTGGGCTTTACTGCTGCCGACCACCCCCAGAGACTTGCAGTGACAAAGCTGTGCCCAGGCCTTGCTGCCCCCTGGTGTGTGTTCTGGGCATGGTGCAGTCCTTCCTGAAAGTGCTGTGCCTGGGTCCCAGGGCACCGCGACAGTAAAGGAGAGGTGATCTAGATTCATATAAACTCAGAAATTGATGATGCTTCCATTAAATAAGCTACCATTTTTCTCTATCTTAAATGTTGATGAAATTGTAATTTTTTTCTCTTTACTTTTGTTTTCTTATTTTGTGACCTTAACAAATTAAGTAATTTGACGTTATCAAGCAGTTGCCACATTCACCGTTTGAATATTCTTACTTCATATATGGAGATTGCGGTTCCTAATGTTTGATACATATTCAATAAGTTAATTAGAAGCTTATTTATTTCAAATAGCCAAGTAATTTGTAAGCACATTTATTATGTAGGTGGTACAAAGCTTAACACCCACAGAGAGGAAAACATTGTATTAATCAGTTGTGTTTCTGATTGGTTCTAATTCTGTTGTGAAAATTCATCGTAAGATACATCATTTAACAACATCCTGATGTAGAAATTGACAAACATTAGCCTGGCTACAAAATGCAAAACTATACTGAGATGTGCCTGTGAAGCTCATATCATGGCTTAGGTGATTTAGATCACTGCAGGAAAAAAACCATAGCTTCATAAAAAAAAAGTTAGAGTTGACAAAAAGGTAACCGAGAATCTGTGGTCCCTGCACACAGGCACAGAGTAAGGAAGTAGCTGGCATCGGGCAGCGTCAGGGAAGACAGGGCCCTGTGTCTCCGAGGTAAGGCGTGTGACCTTGGCCGACCACGGGGCCCTCTGCTGTTCCTCCAGATGTGCGGGAGTTCGTTAGCTCTGTTCCTGGTGTGTGTGTGCTTTGCGTAGTACCCAAACACAAATACTACATATTTATCATCTGCTTGTACTGCCTCTTAAATAGTCAGTAATGATTTTTAAAATAGCGCAAAGTCACAGCTCCCTCATAGTTTTGTTTGCTAGGGTTTTGTCCCAAATGCATAGCTGATCACCAGCTTCCAGGGAACTCAGTACACACCCAGGCAGGGGTGACTGGAGTGGAGTTCCCTACTCATTCCCTCCTTCCTGCCCCTCTCCAGCCATGGCCTGGGGTTGGGGGAGTACGGATCAGTTCCTATAGGTTCTAGAATTTGCTCTCTCTTTATGGCTGCAAAAAAAGAAAGTGATTTTGCAGATTGGGAGATGAAAATCGGAAGGCAGAAAGTGATTCCTCCCGCGAAGTTTCAGGATTCACGGGGTGGTTTGCAGCCACGAGCACCCAGCGCACCCAGCCTCTGGCCTCCCCGTGCGGCTCCCACTGAAAGGGACCACGGCTCTCAGAGAAAGGTGCAGATTTCAGGTCTGATGCAGAAACTGATTTGAAATGTGGCATCATGTTGTGCCCAAAGCAGGAAGCTTGCTAAGGACTTTTGAGGTCTTGTCTACATGTCACAGGAGCCAGTCTGAGAGGGCAACACTAATGGGACCATTTTTTAAAAAGCTTTAAAACTTTTACTGTGGAAAGAACGCTCAACATAATTCAAACATACAAAAGAAAAGAGAAGCCTACAAGAATTCCCAGTGCCTTTCCTACAGCTCAAAAACTATCAGCCTAGTGCCACTGTCACTTCAGTGCCAGCCCTGCCCATGGTCCCTGCCCACCACTGGATCATCTTGAGATACCCAGCAGTGCATTGTTTAATATGCAGATAGTCAAGATGTATCTCTAAAAGATAAGATCTGTTTAAAAATATAATCATGGTGTGATTCAAAGATGGGGCAGATGAACACCAAGAAGAAGAATTGTCATGGGCCACATCAAATATGTACAGATGATGTTAATGTGTAAAAACGTTTGTTCACCTTTAGAGATTTTAATCAGCTCATTACTCTGAATATGGTTAAATAAAAGGAAATAATCAAGGATTTATCCTGCCTTTTCTGTACACATATTTCAGGCTAGCCAAACAACTTAATAAGACAAAGTTCCTTGTAGAATGCCAATACATAAATACAGAATACTTTTGAAAAATATCATTTTGAATCCCTAGTGAAACAGTGGATTAGGCAGTGGGTATCATAGGGTGCCAGGACCATCAAGTGAGAGGCTAGTGAGAAATTTGTGATGGAAGTATCTTTAATAGAATATATTAAAGAATGATTGTTAATTTGTTAGATATAATAGTGGTATTTTCATTGTGTGGAAGAATCTTTATCTGTTAAAGATACATAGTGAAGTGTTCCCAGGCGAAATAATAGGCTGTCCATCATTTGCTTCAACCCTGTTCAGTGTGACGTCCAGATACATCAGCTAACCTGCCCCGAGAGCTTCTTAGAAATGCAGAAACTCAGACCCCATCCTCAGAACCACCAGAGAATCAGCAGCTACATTTTTACCAAGATCACAAAAGAGTTGTATGCATGTTAGGAATTGAGAAACATCGCTTTAAAATAGTGAGGAGGTGGGATAAAAGAAACAAGATTGGCAGATACTCATGAGTTTTGAAATGGGGGACAAGCCATGAAAATACGATTGATTGTAAGTCAGGTTTGCCTAGATGATCCACAGACTGGTGATTTGTACATGTGTACAAAATACTCAGTCCAGTGACTCGTTTTTTATTCATTAGCTTGAGGTCTGAGTGTTGAAATAAACATTGTATGATTCCCTCCCCTTCTTCCTCCCCAGCTTGTTAAGTTATTTGGCAATATTACAAAACCCTGAATGCGTATTTCTTTTTAGGGTCCCTTATCAAATCAAACTGTTCTTTTAAAGTGTATGAAAGACTTATTGTAGCCCCGGATGCCAATTTGCTGTCGATCCCTCTCTCTAGGCACGCTTGAAAGGACCGCTGAAGAGCGTTGACCGTGCTCTGTGTGGTGAGGGTTGTGAGGACCCGGAGAGAGCAAGCAGGTGAGTAGGGGGCTTGGTGTCTGTTAGCGGGAGGCTTGATGGCAGGAGCTTTAGGTCATGAGAGCTAGTTCTAGGAATATGCACCCCTGAGACAGGAAAGCAAGATGGACCTGAACTGCCATGTTCCTGGAGAGCTGCGGTGCAGAAAGATGCTGTCACTGGCGCAGGAAGGGAAGCGGGCCCACCCAAGTCAGGCTCCTCCCGGCTGAAGAGGGGCACCTTGAATATCGGGAGCAGCGATGGTCATCAGTTGATAGAAACTGCTTTGGGGGAAGAGGGAGCACCTACATCTGTGGTAGAATCGGAAGAAGTGTGTTAAGAGTTAATTTAAGATAGAATGAAGGCAGTAATAATAGTTATGTTTAACTTGTTAACTCTAAGATATATGGCAAAACGGACATTCTTTCTTTGCAGTAAGAATATCTTTGCCTATATAAAGGAATATGCATTCTTCTCTGAAATAAGTGAATAAATAAGTATAAGGAAAACCACATTAAAAATACTGAAAATGAACTTGAGCTACAGCAGATTTCTCAAGTGTTCAATCTAATATTTCTAAGGCTAGTGTCCCGAAACCCACATAATTAGACTATGTGAAAAGCCTTGCTTCTGCTCCCAGATTGATTAGGGACCATAAACTGTTCTTAATGCATGATTCAAAATTTTCATATTTGAATTGACATATGCAACATTATAAGGAATTCAGCCATGAACAAATTACCCGTTTTGTTGTTCACGGTCTTAAACTCCTCCATTAATGGAATGTGACTGGGGAGAGGCTGCGTACTCAGCGTGTGCGTGTCCCCTTTTCTCCAGATTATCTTCTGAAGATGGCGAAGACGCTTCTACGTATTTTTATGAGAGTGATGATTCTGCTGAGATGCGAGTGAAAACTTGCTCGGGAGAGATGGACTTGCTGGGAGAGATCCTGGACACCCTGAGCACACACAGCTCGGACCAGGGGCAGCTCACGGCGGCCAAGAGCTTGGATTTCTTTAGATCCATGGATGATATTGATTATAGACCTATGGTTAGTGGATTTTTCAATTTATAAGACCCTGCTATGATTACCCAGTATTATAATCTTAGTTGGTAGAAGCATTTATTTTATTTGTATGATGTGTCAAATATTCAAAAATATGATAAAATTTCATCTTTGAGGATTACTTCCAGTAATAAATTCCAGTATTTTTCCTTTCATTTATCCAAACCTGATGGTTATTGTCATTGATTGAGGTTCTTTGGTCAAGTAGTAATAGTCACAATCCAATTTTACCCTTGTCTTTTCTGGGAATTCTTTAAATGTGAAATGTTTCCACTTATTTTCTAAATTTCTTGGATCTTCAAAAAAAATTTTATAAATGCATTCAAGTAATTTTTCATTGTATTGCCCCAAAAATAAACAATGCTTTAAACAAGTTGAACTGAGTGTTTTAAATACTCAAGGTACAGGTCTGAGTGACATCAACCAGGTTCCGATTCTCAGTGGCTCCAGCACTTGACATTGATTATACGACCTAGTTTGTTTGTCTTTGGGTTTTTTGGGCAAATACTTTTATTTTTCAGCTTTACTGAAGTATAATTGACAAATAAAAATTGTATGTATTTATATATTTCCCTGTAATAGAGCCTTGGGAGGTGTTCAGAATTAACTGTCAGCGCTCTGTTTCCTCTGTGAGGAACTCCGTGTTCCCAATATAAAAGACGTTCATACTGATTTCCAAATGGGAAAAAAGGTTTTGCTAAAGTATTACTTTAATTTTATTAAAATTTTCTGAATGTGCTGTTTCTTCTTCCAGAATAAATCCAATGCTCCCAGTGAGAATAATCTGGCCCTGCCCTGCAGCAGTTCTGGGGACCCAGCAGAGCGGCTCCCCGGGCAGAACCGTGCCGCGCCCTGCGAGCGCCTCTCAGCGTCCCCCAGGGGGCACACCTCCCCTGGCGGGCTCACAGAGTCCCTGCTCATCCTGAAAGAGGAGAACAGCGGAAAACACCTCCGTGTGGGCAGTGCAAGCAGGCCTCCTGGGGTGGGAAAGCCAGCCTGTCCTCCTGGGGTGGGTACCCAGCCGGCCTCACTGGAAGTTTCCTGGACTGAACGAGGAGAAGCAGAGCAGAAGGGAGCCCTGGGACAGACTTCAGGAGACCCGCCTGCACCCAGCCGCGGGCGACTCCCGCCTGCTTTTGTGCCTTGGGAGAGAGAAGGAGAAGAAGCCGCAGAGATGACAGAAGATGGTGGCCTGCTTCACGAGGTAGCATCATTGTGCCACTTAACATCTGCCTTCCAGCAGGGCCTGAACGTGTCAGAGGGACCCACAAGTGGGCACAAAGCTTAAATCAACAATTGGGAGTCAGTCACTTGCATCCACGCTTCTGTGGAAACATTGTAGGATTCCACATAATCTGTACAGTAAACAATTATTTGTAGGAATGACAACTCTTACTACTGTCTAAAAATTATTTTTCATTTGGGAGATACATTACCTCTGCTTGTTTGTCTCGTGGGTGTGTATCATCCACTGGCATTAAATGTAAAGCTGACTCGCCTCCTGTGCTCCTAAGCCAGGCACTAGTTTGTTTATGTGTTGAGGTATATATCGAACATGTGATTTCCCAGTATTGGTGCTTAATGCCATTCATTTTATTCAAACTACGTACGCACGTCTAACCCTCGCACATTGCCGATGACTGCTCTGCTGACCTGGTTGAGCATGAACTGATCAAGATACTAACACTTACCAGAACTAACCGGAAACTGCTGAAATTGTTGACCCCCTAATTGCCTTAATCTTAAGCCTGTGTTAACCATACTTAAATAATTTATGGATTTACAAGTATATTTTGAAAGATAAGTGGGAAGGGCTCTGCAGAGCAATAATGCCTTTTTCTATTCATTGAATCAAGGGCAAAATTCATTTTTTCAGAGTCAAAACTCTCTTACAGACACTGCAGCCATGTTTTCCAAAAAGCATTCGGGCACAACTGCCCTTTCAGCCAGTGGGATGTGTGAGATGCTGCATCGCAGCGTGAAGTGAGTGACTGCTGTTACAAGTGACATGGCCTCGGTCGCCTTCACTGGCTGGGAATGCGCCCTCAGAACGTCATCTGTCCTGATAAAAAAGTTCCACTTTTGTTCCCAGCTAATTTTTATCAGAATGCTTCATCTCATCTTAATTTACCTTTTACAATAATTGACTTGATGTTTTACAAGTTTTAAATTCATGGCAAAGTTGTGAAGACAGGACAGGATTCCTGCATGTGCACACAGTTTCCTGCTCTCGGTACCACATGTCAGCCTGGCACGTTCTCCACAGGTCAGTGAGCCGGGACGTATACGCCAGGTCTCCTCAGAGTTCCCTGGTTCTCCCCCCAGGGGCGTGTTCCGGCTCCAGGACCAGGATGATGCACTGCATTTGGATCTCAGGTCTTAGATCCTCGGGGCAGCGCCGCTTTCTCAGACTCCCCTGGGTCTGGTGGCCTTGACAGTCGTGAGGAGTGCTGGTCGCATGTGCTGCAAAGCAAACCTCCCCTGGAGTCTGTCTGGTACTTTCCTCGCAGTCACACTGGGACCATGGGTTCGGGGGAGGAAGGTGGCAGAAGCAGAATGCCATGGTCACGACATCGTACCGAGGGTCCGAGATGGGTCCGAGGTGCCACCATGCCTGTTGAGCATCGGTGCTGAGTGTGGCCACCCTGCCGAGGCAGCGGTCAAGTTCCTCCAGCCGAAGTCCCTCTCCGCCTCCCTCTGCGCTGTCATCTGGGAGGAGGCCCCGGTGTGCAGCCCCACCTGAGGAGTCAGGGTTCACGCTTCCTCTCGTTGAGGGCAGAGGACCTACATACATAATTTGGGATTCTCCCCGTAGAAGATTCATCTCTTCTCCCTCAAATATGGATTCATGACAGACTAGATCAACAGGTATAATCAGGAAAAAAAACAGTGATGTTGTGGTTAATTTATTATTAGTATGTTCAATGTATATACTTTATGCATTTCTAACCATGATTATGTTTTTAAAATGACCATTTTAGAAAAGGTGTTTAAGAAACTACTTAGGAACCCCATCAGGACTATACTCTAAAATATTCACTGAAAGAATTTAATTTTCAGCTTAAAAAACTTCTGAAAAGGGTTTTGTTAAAAACATTGCCTAAAAATATTTATTCAGTTCAGTCCTTAAATAATTTAAAGAAAAGACCAAGTTTTTCATTTTTTGACTACATTCCAAAATCTGAATGATTATGTCTTATTTGAGATGCTTATAAACAAAAGCAAACCTTGTTTTCCTTATCATAAGGTTGGACTCTTTATATTAAGGAAAAATGTGTTTAATCATTATTATTTTTAACACAAAAGTAAGACTCAAGGTTCCTGTCAAATTTTGCCTTTATATACTAATTACAAAATTCCATTCTACTTTATTGAAGTATCTATAATAAAAGGAATCCATTTATCAGAAGAGCTGTTTTAAGTGAGACGGGAAAAAGGTCAGTGGTGTTAATCTGCTTGGCAAATATTCCTTGACAGTTTTTGAAAGGAATGTAATTGGGATGAGGTATTTTTTCCATCAGAATTCAGTGTAAACATTGAGACTATCATTTGTATAGTGAAAGCAAAATTTGGGTTTTCGTCTACTTAATAAACATGGTCTCAGAAGTGTCGGTCCTCTGACCACATCACCTCACATTTGACTACAGAGGACGGTGGTGTTTTGAGACTAGTTAGCATCACAAGGGACATTCACATCAAGGTATTTTAAACTGAATTTGTGCCTTATTTCAACATATAAAATCAGCTGTTATATTCCACATAAAAAACAAAAGCAAAAACAAAAATTCTACAAGTTTTTTCTTAGAAAAAAATCCAAAAGACTAGTAGCAAGAATGAGCATTTCAAACCATTACAATTTTGAGTATTCAGTGTCTGCTCCTAGTCTTCCCCATATTATGGTGGAAGTAGGGAGAATGAAGTGAAATTAGGTGAGTTCTGAAATAAAAGTGTTATTTCCTTTCCTACTATGTTCATAATTTCTATTATAACTGATCAAATATTCGTAAACTCCCTGCTGTTTGGATTTTGTTTTTCAAAGAGGCAACACTTGTTCTTCCACAAAACCGAGGAAGCTGATGCGCCCTGTGGCCCTGACACGGGGCCCCTGGTGGGGCCGCAGCCCCCGAGCCTCAGCGCTCCGTCCGTGGTGCAGGGGTGGGGGAGTAGTGTGCGGACTTGAGAACTCTTGCTAAGTCAAAGTATGGGTTAAGTGATATATTTTGATGGTCACCTACTTTAGCATATTTTAGAAAGACACCAAAATATAGCATGATTATTTTCTAATTAAACTAATAACTCATCTATTTAGGAAATATTTATTTCCTCTTTGTACCAGGCATATGCAAGGTATAGTAACTGAGGATATAGGGAAATAAAATAATTGATGTGGCCTGCTTTGAAGGAACCAAATAAAAAGAAAAGGAATTGCAAACTGCTGTTAAAAATAGTAGTGGTAGTAGTAGTAGTAGTAACATATTTTGGTTATTAACCCAAGATTCTAACACCAAAAAAGAACTTATTCTAAAGCTGCTTAATCTAGAACATGCTCCAAGTCCAGAACCATAGTACCATTTCTAATTTCATTGACTTTTTTTCTCTTATCACACACAGTGTAATAATGCTGCTACCTAAGGTATCTACTTTTAAAAAACAGACTCAGAAACTCTCCGACAGTACGTGTCCTTGCTTGTCTGATGCCACCACTCCGTTCAGCCTTCCCCAGGCAGTGCGGGGCTCTCGGTCCTGGAGCGATGCCGCTTTTTTGCTCATTTGGGACTCACTGAGGGTGTGGGTGCGTGTTGCTGGGAATCTGGCTTTTACTGCCTTTATCCTGAAAGCAGCCTTCTCTGGAAACAGCCCCTTCTTCCTGCCTTGCTTGTGAATCAAAACTTTACGTATCAGTGTGGCTGGTGGGATTCTGTGCTGGTCCCCTAACAGGAGGATTCAAGAACGCTCGCCAATTAGTTTGTTAAATGACATGAAGAATTAGACTCCTGATCCAGAGGAGAAAACTGTGAATATTCTCACAATCAGTATTTCTTCTTTCTCTCCTAGGAAGTGTGGATTTTCAGGAAAAGATTATTTTCATGAATAAATTTTTGGTGAGAATTCCATTTGGTTTAGCATAAAAGACTCTGCTTCTGGGTAGATACTTGTAACTCAGAAGATAAATCTAAGAGTATAAAAATGAATACCCAAATCTAATTCCCAAAGCACTTCTTGGTATAGAAAATAGTTTTTACAAACTCTGTCAGTGCTGGCATCTGTCCTGTTTCGAGCCCAGTGTTTATTAGTGTCTGTTTCTTAGAGCTTATTTAAGAGCCAGCATTGTTTTGAGCAAACCAGTTAATATTTTAATTTGGTCAAGATAGGGAATTATGTGTCGTTAGAAAGAAGTGTATTTTATTTTCAAAATAATAGGAATTTGTGCAATATTTTTTCCTTGCATTATTTAGTTTATATAAATACACACATCTGCTTTTCTAGCAGATTCCTTAAGGTCATGTTTTTCAGTTTTTGTGTAAAACTGTGTAGCAATGTTCTGTGTGATTTTAGAAAAAAATATTCTTTATATTGTTGGCAAGAGAAATGTTTTTGTTTATTTAAAATGATTATGGAGATCGCATTATTGTATCAAAACTGCCTCAGCAACAATAAATATGCAATAAGAAAATTCTGAACCTTAGATAAGTATTGTTAATATTGTTACTTTAAAAATGTATATAATACAGAATGCTGATCCTACATGTACACATTAACAAATACTGAGCTCTGTACCACGCAGATCTACATGGCTTTTGTATGTTCGTGGCCACATGTGTGGATGGTAGTAATCCTTTGTGTTGAATACTTGGTAAGATTTACCAAGGGCATCGCCAATACTTTTTGACTGTAAATTAAGTTAATTTTTGTATGATGTACAGTTTGTTTAACCTTAGAGCTTCTATAGATTTCTACTTATACTTGAATGAGGCAGAAAGCACTGTGGAAAATCTGTAGTTCTGGATGCAATAGCAAACATACCAAAAATAAAAATCAAACAGGTACCGGAGAACAGTGGTAACTGGATGCTTTATATCCAAAAACCTATGTTTTTCAACTGTACTTAAGTGAAGTAGTTTGAAATACACACCCTTTTATCTTAAAGGTCGCAAAGTGACAGGTGGTCACCTCTTTGATATGATGAACCTCCAAGGCTGTGTCTGTGTCTCAGTCCTCTGACGGGAGCCTTGTCAAGGTGCATGGACCGATCCACACTCTGGTTCATCGCGTGATGTTTAGGGAGGGACAGAATTAGGGTCTGAGCAACGCATGTGCCATCACCATCCCTCAGACAGTGTGACTTCCTGTGGTTATTTTGAAAACCATTTAATAATCGTATACCAGAAATGAGAGGTCTTGAATCTGTTATGATTTAGTATTTACAGCAATGCCTAAAATAACACGTATGAACTGCATGAAATCTAATATTAAAATGCATAAAAGCTGGTTTCATAAAAGGTATGTGAGAGGTTCAAAATTGAATTTTCCCAAAGCTTATTTCTTTTGCTTTAAATGAATAACTGTTCAGGAGTACTAAAAATCTTAGCTTTTTGCTGGGCTTGGTGATAGGTGTCTGCAGAAAGCTCTCCAGCACCAAAGCTTGCTTCCTTGTTCTTGTGTCCTCGAGGCTACAGGATAAATTGTCTCTAAGGTAGGCTAACTATTGGGAGGATAGTGTATAAAAGTGTTGTTTGGGGATTTTTTTTAATATGCAGAAATAAATATGGGATGATCTACACATCACCGTGAAGAGCCCAACACTGCAGTCACAGAATAAAATCGGTCATAACCAGGCTTCGCTTAGTGGTGGCCCTTCTTGTGTGACTGGCCAGTTGTCATCCTCAGCGTTCCAGGGGGACCGCCGCGAGGGCCCCACGACCATCCTTGAGTTCGTAGCCCGTGCAGGGTGGATCCGAGCCTGAGTCCTCCTGACGGGGCTGCTGGACAGGTGTCCTTTCTTCCTCTCTGGCGAACTAGTCTGTGAGGCTCCAGAACCGGCACAGGTAAGTACAGGCTCCTAGGAGAGCGGCCCCGCCCGAGCCAGACAGCTGCACGTAGTGGCCTCCTTGGAAGCGTCAAGAACGGTGAAATGCAGGAAGGGGATGCGCGGCGCCCCGGAGGCTGGGGGCACTCGCTCCTCATCCCAGAGCTGTGACGGCTCCACCCGCAGCAAAAACCAGATTCCTATGGAATAAGCAAAGTTTCCCTTTGGTGCAGAAACTTGGGAAATAATACGCTTAACTTCCCTTGTTGCCGTAGAAGATGCAGAAGTCTGACAATAAGAAAGATACTATCCTTGTAATTCTAAGGTTTAGCTAACTTTTATTGATTTTGATGTTCAACCCTTGGCCTGCCACCTTCCCAGGGTGTCTGTGTGTGAGTCATATCTTAATTTATAGATGTAGAAACAAAATATCCAATTGGATTTTCCTTAAGTATAGATGAAAGAAGTCATCCCGTCTGCAGCAGGATTATGTAGTGGGTCTGAGAGTTTTCTTGCCCTGCATTAACAGTGAATTACAGGACACACAAAAATTTGTGCATACATGAGAAATATAGCCTGAACAGCATAAAAATAGTCTACTGTGGAAATTTCCAGGTGAGTTAAAAACACCCAAGTTCTGCCATTGATTTGGGCCTGTTAATTTATCCAAATCTTTATTTCTATCTATTGAAAATAGAAGTGTCTGTTCTTAGAATTATTTTTTGACAAACTTTTTTATACATAGGACTCCCATATAATTTTAGGGATACAAAATATTCCTAAATATCCAATCTCATTTGAATTCATGGGCTTTTTTTTTTTTGGATTATAAAGCCATAAAGTATAACTAAAAAAAATATTAGAGTTTATCTAATCCAGTGGGTCTTAAACCTGGCTTTCATTAGAATTAATTGTACAGCTTAAAAAGGGGGGGAAAAAAGCCTGAACCATGCTAATCCCTGGGGCCCCTGAGGTAGCCAGTCCTTCATAAACTCGAAGAAGGAGGGGTGAGCCTGACACCCCAGCCCCAGCCTCCATGGCCCTGGGCAGAAGCGCTCCCCGTAAGACCCTCTCTTCTAGCTCGGCCTTCTCGTTGAAGTATCAGACGACGCTTTTTTGACAAAATGCAGGTTCAGGTTTTGATTTGGAATACAGAACTCCCTAGTATCATTTAGGAAGATAGTATTCACGTCTGGATTCTCCTTTCCTCCCCCGCCCCAGCTCCCGTAATTCTGTCTCAGCTGATGTTTGCCAAACATCATCCGTATGTTCTCGATGGCGTCTTCCCTTTCTCTTCATTTTATTGGCAGGTTTTGGAAAGTGTGTGGGGGGCCCCCCACTCGATTACACGTGAGAAGTGCGAGAATGCTTGGGGGCATCGATTCTGAGGAAAAGGAAAGTCGGTAACTTGGAAATATTTTAATGTGGAGACACTTGCTGATACATGAAGCTGTTGACAGCACATAAACATTATTTTCAGTATCTCCGCAGGCATTTCCTACTTTTCTCGCACTCAAGAACTTACCCCCTCTTATGTGCTATTTTAGAATCGCACCTACTCTAAATATGAGCTGTTTCATAATCACGGTGTTTTGTTGTAACACCATGTAAATATTACTTTAATTTAAAATATGTATTTAAATTTTAAGAATTACCTTTTATAACTCCAGCTTCTAATTCGAGGACTCATTTTGAGATAGCAAAATGCACTAATGGTATTGATTTAGCATTTTATTCAATTTCCCCCCAAATTTAAACTTAAAAAAATATTTTTAAGTAAAAGCTAAGCTTTCAAAGATTTGACAGATGTCCAAATTGGATAAAATCCATTAGGCCGAAATTCTCAATCTGTGAAACAATTTGTCAGGGAAACGCTCTGTTCTGTAGTATAAGCTCCTTGCATAAGCGACATGCTTATTGGGAGACAGAAAACCGTTTGAATTTGTAAGCAGGTGACAATTGATAAATAGTTGTAATTAGTCTTTTTAAAGCTTTCTGCTAGAGAAACATAAGCAGTTATTTCTCATCAATAAAGATTTTGTTTAAAAAGGGTAATTGTACACATAACACAGAGTAACTAACATTCTGTATGACTAGGAATAGTATTCTGGGGGCCTGTTGCAAAGTATTCATTTTTAATTTGCAATTGTAAAGTGAACTAAAAGTCCCTGGACATTTTGATTTCGAGATTTTTAAAGGACTTTCAGGTTGCTTTGCTAACACTCCTTTAGTCCAAGATGTAGATAAGGCTGTTGAAAATTAAAGTACTACTGTTTTATGTAAAGATGCTTTGCTTTCGAGGTACATCTTTTACATTTTTTCAAATCAGCTTTATTGAGATAAAATTTACATCCAACACAATTCACCCACTTTAAGAGTATCATGAGTTTTGACAAATGTATGCAGTCATACAACCACATCGATTCAGAACACCTCAGTACCCCCCAAATTGCTTCGTTCCCTTTTGCCTCCATCCCTTCCTCTTGATCCTGGCTCCTAGCCAACATTATATATTTTCACTACAGTTGCCTTTTCAAGAATTTCACATAAATGAAATCATACAATGTGCAGCCTTTTGTGTCTGGCTTCTTTATTTAGCTTAGTGCTATTAGATGTATCTATGGTGTTGCACATACCATTGATTTGTTCCTTTTTACAGCTGAGTAGTAGCCCACTGTGTGGCTATGAAACAATGTAATAATTTATTTACTCTGTGAAGCATATTTGTTTTCAATTTGGAGTCATTTTGAATGAAGCTGCTCCATACGTTTGAGTGGGAGTTATTGTGAGGGACACGCTTTCATTTCCCCTGAATTAATAGGTAGGAGAAGGATTTCTGGTTTCTGTGGTTAACTAAATAACCATTAGGATGCAGGCGAGTCTCAGTTCTTACATTCTTGGCAATACATGATCTGTCAGTCATTTTGGTTTCAGCCATTGGTGGGTGTTTGGTGGTGTCTCATTTGGTTGTTAATTTGTATCAGGTCTGAAGATGTTGAGAAATTTTTTATATGCTTATTGGTAATTCACATATCTTCAATGGAGAAGAGTATGTTCAAATGTTTTACCTATATTCATATTGAGTTGTTTCTCATTACTGACATGTAAGATGTTTTTTTTATTAAAGTATTGTTATTATTCAATCTTATCTTGGTTTTAGGTATACAACGCAGTTGTTCAACAGTTACCCATGTTATTAAATCCTCACCCCTTCTAGTGTAGTTCCTATCTGTCAACATAGGAAGATGTTACAGAATCATTGACTATATTCTCCATGCTGTACTACCTTCCCGGTGACCAATTTATATTATGTTTGAGAATTTTTGTGCCCCTTTATCCCCCTCACGGTACCCCCATGACCCAGGCCCTCCCCCTTGGAAATCACTAGTCACTTCTCAGTGTCAGTGAGTCTGCTGCTGTTTTGTTCATTGTGTTTCATTTTGTTTTTAGATCTCACAAATAAGTGAAAACATGGCATTTGTCATTCTCCCTTGCTTATTTCACTGAATATAATACCCTCTAGATCCATCCACGTTGTCGCAAGTGGCAGGATTTCCCTTTTTTTTTTTTTGTGGCTGAATAACATTCCATTGTGCATATGTGCCAGGTGGTAGGTACGGGTGCATGTGAGCTAAAATCTGGCTCATATTCTCG